CAAAAAAAAAAAAAAAAAAAAAAAAAGAAAATTTCAAAAAGAAAAAAACAACAAAAATATCATTTCTTACTTTCAAAGAAAAAAATTTCATTAAAATGTACTACAAGTAATAAATATTAGAGAAAACAGGTCCCAGGAAATAAGATTTTTTTTTTTAAACAAGCAAAACACATGTTTTAAATTCCCATTTACAAGCTTGTGAATTATGGCCCTTTGTGCTCAAACCGCACTCGGAGAAAAACAAGCTTTTTTAGACCACCACAATAAGAGCTGTGGGGGGATGGGGGACGGGGCCAGGAATAAAGACACAGAAGGCAGTCACAAAGACCCCCGACACTCAGCTGTTTTATTAGGTTGCAAGTCTCTCCTCCTCTCCCCCCTTTCTGTTTCTTCTCTTTCTCCCTACAAATCCTCCCAAAAACACATATAAAAAAGAGAAAACTAGCAGCAAGATTGGGTCAAACATGAAGAACACAGAAAGAATATTAAATAGCTAGCTCTAAAGGGCTCTTTTTCAGCTTGAACAAAAGTAAAACGTTCTTAAAAGCAAAATAGAAAACAGAGCTTCCACCCAGGCCGTGCAACTTAATGAGAGGAGGTTAGTGCTGATAAACCCATTGTGAATCTATACAAAGTGACAGATTTTCAAGCAAGGAAATCAATCAGTTGCCATTGGAAGATTTAGAGCTCAGGAATCAACTGGTTCAAACCAACTAGGGGCTGAGGGCTGGGCAGATGGGGGATGGGTTGGACAGGGTGACATGAGGTCAAGAAAGGGGCTCTAGTTTTTATGCCCACCATTCTCTGACCCCATTCCACCCCCAACCCACATATTCAGTTCACACTATGTGTCATGCTAGCAAGACATTCGCCTTGACCCTGCCAGATTCACTTTGTTCTCTTTTTTGCCTCACTCCCAGCAAGCTTCCAACACAAGGGAATTAAGCTTTCCCCAGGCAGTCACAGAACCCAGCTGTAAAAAGCTGCTTAGAGCTCCTGCCGGTAATCTGTCACTTTGGTTCCTTCCTTGCTGTCTGCTTGATCCCAATGGAGGCAAAATTTAGAAACATACCATCACGTGGGGGCTCTTCACACAGGAACGTTGGAGTGCTCTGGGTTGCAGTGACCTCAATTTCTTTCTTCCCTGCCAGAGCTGTCTGTCCTGGCTGTTTCTCTCCTTGCTGGCAGACCTGGGAGCAGGAATCAATTCTAGTTTCACTAATATCTTCCTGCCCTTTTTCCTTGCTGCTCCCTTCAGGAATCTGTTCCAGTTTACTATGGAGATACAATCCAGCAGTGCTGAGTTCCTTCTTCCCAGAGTTGCTGCTGCTGTTGCTGAAGTGGGCCAGTTCTTC